AATGGATTGGGAATATAGCTCAGTGGTGGAATGCTTGCCTAGCAAATAAGAAACCTTGGGTTCAATCTCCAGTAATACAAACACACACTCACCACACACACACACACACACACACAGAGTAAGAGAGTTCAAGAAGGCCTATGGGTCTTGAGTATTATCTCCTACTACAATCAGTGTTTAATAATCCAAGGACAGCCTTCTACTTGTTGTAGCCCCTATCATGTGCAGATTATCATTCCATCTCAAGTCCTTTTTCCACCACCAAACTTTAGAAGAATAGTTTTTATTTCTTATACTCCGTTCTTTCCTACTCTGGTGTTCTTTGAGAGGATTTTTGTGTGGTTAAATCAGTGTGGAAGAATATGTCAACATATTTCAATCAGTGTCTGCTGGAGAACTTTTTAGATCTTCATAACTTCTTTTTCAGACTTGTTTCCTTCCTTCCTTCCTTCTTTCCTTCCTTCCTTCCTTCCTCTTTTTCTTTCTCTTTCTATCCTCCCCTTTTGTGAGACATGGTGTCACTGAAAAATCTGGGCTAACCTCAAACTCCAAATCCTCCCACCTCAGCTTCTTAACTGTTGGGTGTGTGCCAACAGGCCTGGCTTAGCTTAACTTTTAGTGGCAAGAGTCAAAGGCCTGGCCGTTAGTTGCAGTTATCTAGTGGAAATTTAGGGTAAGCTCTACCAGGAAAATGCTGAACTATTAGAGCAAGAGTTGAAAGTTGGGGAAGAAAAATAAGGAGGATGAGGCAAAAGAGGAAGATTTCTGTTATGCTTTTCAGAACTCCTAGGGGGCTGGACAGCTGAGGGAAGAGACACACAAAGGAAGGCAAGGGGAAAGCCTCTCAAGGAAAACATTAGGGAGAGTGTCTGTTTCCAAATGAGCAACACCAAGAATGAACTTACATACAGGGGTCTTAGGAAACCAGCTAGATATATTTGACACGCATATTGGCAGTGACTCAAATCCAAGGACAAACTTCAGAACAGCAGGGAATTTGGATAAGTTTTAAAGAGCCTAATCGAGAATAATAAAAAAAAAAAAAAGCCTAGCCCCGTGGGAAAACCTTGGTGATGATAAAAGGCCAAGGTCAAAATTTCTGGCCATTGGCTGTAGGAAGGAAGGGGTAGATAGAGGAGGCATTTTGATAGGATTTTTAAAAAATGTATCGTAATTCCTTTCAGAACCAGACAACAGTTCAGTGGAGTCAGCAGGGGAATGGACTGGGAAGTAGAGACCAAGGCAGAGGTCGGGCTACAGAAGTGAGTGGGGGAGGTGGGAGATGGGGCTGGTGAGATCAACAGCGATGGGAGCCAACACCATGTGCAGGGTGAGCGCCTTACTCAGTGCGCTGTTTGAAACGGTATCTGGGCAGGTGCTGATGGCCGCCACCTTGGCTCAGGGTCAGTTTCCATGCACTTCAGCTGGTGTTCATGGAATTCTGGAAGTGGAGTGGGAAAGCAGCATTCAGCTTGGTTCTACGGGTCAGAGAGCCTCAGGGACTTGGGGTCCCATTCTGGGGCTTGCAACACAGTAGAAGTTCTGGACTCACCAGGTCATCTCCCTTAACCTGTGTTAGGACCCAAGAGGTGAAAATCTGGAAAACTGGTCAGATCTTCTTAAAAATGTTTGGTTTTAAATCACATGTATTAATATTGTGTATATGTATCTGTTGGGGAGTACACACTATAGCACATGTGTAGAGAGCAGAGGACAATTTGTAGGAGTCTGTTCTCTCATTTTTTTTCATGTGGGTCCTGGGGATTGAACTCATGTCCTTGAGTTTGGTCCCAAGTGCTTTAACCCATTGAGACTATATATTGTATGGATGCAGGCCAAAGCGTCTCTCAAGTCAAAGATGGAAATTAGAATTGAAGAGTGGAAATACTGCGATTGATTTTAGTATGCACAAAATGAAAATGCTTTTAAAAATAGTGGCATTTGGAATATGCAAATCAGGAAGTAGAGAGGGTGATGTTGGGCTAAGAAATGTAGGCTGAGTGACCACATTATCATCTCCATCCCACTTGAATGCAGTTTGGAAGCCTGCGAGGTGTTATCTGCGCTGTGTCACTGCGAGGTGCATAGTTAGTGTATTTACTACCTGTGCTGATAGCCACTGTAGTTACATTTGATCAAATGCTTATAACGGGCAGGAACTTCACATTTATAGCTTTTGCTGTCACAATGGGAAGTATATACTGCTATTAATTCTGTTTTCCAGATGAGAAAGTTAAGGAATAGAGAAGTCAAGGAAGCCAATTAAGACCACACAACTGGAAACAGTGAAAGAGAAGATGGAGACACAATGTTAGAGCCCAGAGTTGGAACTGTGATGATGGACAGTCTCTATTAAGCCAAGACATAAAAAGAGGGATCGATACTGTAGAGAAATTCAGATACTAATAACAAAGTAACATTTAGTAGAGGCTTCTATGTGCCACATACTATTCCAAGTGCTGTATATATGGCACATACACACATTTGTGTACACACACACACCCCTATTGCATTTCTGGAATAACCCTTTGTTTCCTTTATTGAAATCTCAGGACACAACACATAGTAGGTGCTCAAAAATATTTATTGGACAACTCTCTCTCTCTCTCTCTCTCTCTCTCTCTCTCTGTGTGTGTGTGTGTGTGTGTGTGTGTGCATGTGTGTGTTTTAATTTTAGATAAGGTCTTCAGATAAGGATATGCAGTTCTGTCTGCCTTTGTACTAACTAATTTAGCCCAGACTAGCACATTCTCAGCGATCTTATTGCCCCAGCCTCCAAAGTGCTGGGATCATAGGCATGCATCCCAGTGCCTGTCCACTGGACAAACCTTAAATAACTATAAATACACAGTTTTACTTTTAGGGAGCCCTAAGTAACAGGGCTGAAGTCCAAGGAACCCAGCTCCCATGCCTTCTTCTTTGTTGTATCATTTCACAGTCCTGGCTTCTGACTCAGATCGTCTAGCTTAGGTCTTTGCTTCTTTCCTTCTCAAAGGGCAAGAAGCCTCATTCACTGGTGTAAAGCTATATTTGCGTGTTGAATATCTAGAATAACTCTGGCTATCTGAAAGGAGAGAGTCTGCATTTCCACTTTCTTCCCTATAGAACACTGCCTTGTCCATTGGAGACCTGCTGCTCACCCTTCTGCAGCTCATCCTCCTGTTCCACACCACTCTTAAGAGGCATCTACTCCTGGTCTCTATCACTAACCCAACTCTCCATTCACCACTCAGGCTTAGCTATGGGGCAAGAAGTTTATCCTCTGTTTTGTTTTCAAACTTAGCATTGATCATCGTAAGGGTAACCTTCCCACTTAGACACATTTGGATGGCTACTGTATTAAAAATAAAAAAAGAAGGAAAATAAAAGTGGTAGGAATTCTAGTAGAAAACAAGAGTTGTTTTGACTACTTGGGAATTAAATCCACTAATACCCCATAGAGTTGAAAACAGAGTCTAAAATTAACATGTAACTAACTACTCATGTTTGTAACATCATTATTTATAATAGACAAATATGGAACCAAAACACACATTCATCAATTGATGAATAGATAAATATAGTGTTTTATAGACATAGTGGAATATTATTCAGGGCATTCTGACACGTCAGAACATGGATAAACCTTGAAGATACCATGCTACATGAAATGAAGCCAGGCACAAAAAGATAGTTACAGCATGGTTTTGCTAATGAATGTTACGTAAGACTCAAGTGTGGTGGTGCATTATAGAGAAAATGAGGCTAGTCTGTGCTACATGAAACCAAAAAAAAAAAAACCTGAAAAGAATAGAGAGTTTGTGCTGAAGAAGGAGGAGAGAGAGAAGAGGATGGGGAGGACCAAGAATAGTCAGTGTATACAAAGACAGAATGATGATATCCAAGTGCTGGGTTGGTAGAGGGACCATTTAGTGGACACAAAGTTTTGCAAAGTGAAGGCAATTCTGATCATTGTTTGTATAACAGTATGAACACACTCATTACATACACTCCACTTAAAAAATGCATAAGATGCTATGTGTATTTCATATTTTGAAAGTAGATTTCAAAATGACTCTTGGTAATAGCAAATATGTGCATGATAAAGATTCAAAATACTAAACCAAGTGGTTCCATTAAGTCAAAAGAAATGGCAGAGTATACATGAAGGAGTTTGGATTTAAGACATTATAAACTTATTAGAGATGAGGAAGAATGAACAATGAGTTTTGGTATTTGGGCTTCTAATGGTTGGTGTTACAAATCAGTTTCTTCAATGTCTTTTTGTTGTTGTTTTGTGGTAAATTATTGTTACATAGCCCAGACAGGCCTCCAACTTGTGGTCCCATGTGCCTGGGTCTTCAGCTTCTTCCCTTCTCCTTCCTCTCCCCCTTCCCTCCCAACTTTCCCTCCTGTCTCCTTCAGTCCCCCCATTCCTCTCTTGGTAAGCTCTCTATAGCCTAGACTGTCTTGCTTAAGTATCTTTTCAATGTAATGCATATTTTTCCTCTCTTCTTTTGCCTGTGTGTGTGTGCGCCTGTGTCTGTGTGTGTGTCAGGGTCTGTAGTCTATGTGCATGCATATCTGGGCACATTGGATTACTGGATGCACATGTGTGAGTGTATATGTGCACACATGGCAGTACAGGGTTAATGTTAGGTGTGCTCCTCAATTACTCTTCCCCTTGCAAATGAGGCATTCTCTCACTGAACCTGGATCTCACTTTCTGACTAGTCTAGCTAGCCAACTTGTTCTAGGGGATCTCCTGCCTCCACTTCCTGCTTTCTAGGACTATGAGCAGGTTGTCATGCTCACTGTCTTTTCTGTGTTTCCTGGGAGTCCAAACTCTGATCTTTATGTGTGTGAAGCCATCTTCTCTCCCTGCAATGCATATTCTGTAGAATGAAGATCTAGGTCCTTAGAGCTGTCATGTTTATGAAGTGAGGTTGATTAGATGAGGCTGTGATGGGTAGTGCTGCTCAGAATTGAGGTCCCTATGATGCCATCCCTGGTCCACGTACCTGTCTACACGAAGCTGGCAGACAATACTTAGTGTGTCCACGACTCCCTCTTCTTTCAACTGTTGACAGCCAATGGATGTAGCGATGAAACACCCCGTCCTCCCAATCCCTGCACTGAATGGGAAGGAAAAGGAAGGAGAAGATAATGAAGAACAACAAAGTTAAGCTGCAGTCTTTAAGAAGTATACTTTTAAACCTCGACACTATAAGGACTAATAATAACATAATAACTGATAATAACAATAATAGAACTACCATTATTGACTATTACACATCTAACCTGTGCTGTGTTTAAAATAGATTCTTTCGTTTAATCACAAGTCACAGAATGAGTATGGATGGTGGAAGGAGGTGAGGGGTTGGGAGAACGATGAGAAGATATTGTAATTGTTCTAGAAAGAATAGTTAAGGCAAGGAATAGGCAGTCAAAAAGAACCAGTGTCTAAATGCAAACAATGGAAAAACAAAATGCCAAAGAGAGCTAGAAGACAAGAAGGATGGTATTGCCACAGGGACAAGGGGGATTCTGGGATGAGAGCTGACCAGGAGATGCGGTTTGATGCTGAAGTCTCGTGATTTACCAAAGATTCACTTCTATTTAGGAGAGAGGATGGGGCTGGAGGCACATGTTTCCATGTCACTTACATTGAGATGATAACATGTGTTATAGAGTATTTATGTATTTACCTGCCTTACATAGTAACTCTATAGAATCAACTTTAACTCTCTTCCATTTTTGATCATCATCTTTATGCTTTATTCTCATGAATCATAATATTTTTACATATCTAGTATGTTTTCTTTTTCAGCTGGATGTGACTAAAAAGCAATGGGTCTCCTTTAATTGAGATGCCCATAAAGACTTTGTTTCTTTGAAGAAATAGGATTTCAACCACATCCTAGGAATGGTAGGTTATCATGAATGATAACATATATCCCATGTGTAACAATAATGTGAACAATAATTTGATGCAAAACAGAACAGTGACTTGTGACAGGCAGTGAGTTAGTTGCAATGTAACAGAAAGTTCTTTGAGTAAAAAAGCAGGAAACAAACCAGACGTGGAAACTAAGACCCTCCACAAGAAGCTAAGAAGTGAGCCACATCCACTTCACTTAATAATATTTAAAAGACTTTGATGGGAACTCTCCAGAAAGAAGCTCACATATGCATTCAAACTTGTTCAAATAATGTCAAAGAATTCACTCATCTCTGTGGTGTATCTGTGGAGTCAAGACTAAGCAATTTTGCTTCAGGTGGTGTGAACCCATCCACCAGTTTTGAACAAGGACTATACGTCATTCAAACATTTGTAGGAACATCATCTCTGAGAAGCATACAGGCTAGGCCAGAGTGGTCCAAGGGAAGAGAGTATGTGTGTGCAATTAGTCAACTACTTTTAAACTACATGGATGAGGTCATAAGGGCCCGGACTAGGGTGGATGGACAGGAAGTATGATTGTGGGAGAAGCTTTGAAGGGAAAGCCAATCTGGTCACTGATTAGATACTGAGACTAGAGTTGAAAGAAGGGCCAAAGATAACTGTCAACATTGGATGCAGAGGGAAGAGAACAAAGAAGTCCTCATTCTTAGAAGCAGTAGTCAGAAGGGGCCTTTATTTTCTATGATTTTGAGTGGGGGATCCAGTCCTACTCCATACCCTACTAGTTTTGTTCCCTTTTGGCTCCAAGGGTTTAGGATAACCTCTAATGCTAGAAACTGGGTAATGACATCTTTGATAGCTAGATATAGGCATAAGAACTTTTAATTAATCCACAAAGTTTGAAAACAGGAGAGTAAAATAAAATCTAAAATCATATAATTTAATAAACTTTCTTAGGATACTTAGAAGGTTAAATAAATCAGCATCTTTTTTTTTTTTTTTTTTTAGAAAATATGGAGTACATGACCAGTCATAGAAATGAATATAAATTACTTGCTTTGGGCACATGAAAAATAAAAGAAGGGTGAAATGTCAGTTTGGGGAGGTGAACTTCAAGCTAGATATGAGGAAGAGAACCCTGTGGAACTCTGTTGTCTGCCTGGCCTCCATGCCCTGTGTGTGCACTTGTTTTCTTTAAAATAAATGAACCATTTGCATATTTCCCACTGGAAATAAATTATTTTCCATCTGGTTTTCATGAGATAACTCTGAAAATAGTTAACTATTCCACCAAACCCACCATAACAGTAAGTGCTATCAAGACACAATCCATATAGTATCTTAAAACAAGAAAGCTCCATCAATAATTAAAGGTATCTGCAGCTCTTGTGTGTAAATGACTAATGACACAAAAATTAACCAAAAGGAGTTTCCCATATAATGATGGAGGAAGGTCTCCTGCTCACTCAGCCATCTATTTAGTACTTGAAACTTTAATGCTTTGCTGCCTGCTAAAAAATGTCCCAAAAGATCTAATTAATTTCTGTGAGCATTGTTTTGATGAAGGCTCTAGTATTAGGATGTTAATCCATTTTTTAATAAATACTTAATTCACTACAAAGTTATATCCTGGAAGCTAAGCCCCACTTGTACACATTCTATGATTAGATAAGAGCAGATAGCTGTTTTGGCAGGAGGATGATTCATGCCTTACCTGCAGTGGACAACCACAGGCCCTCGACCCTCAGAGGCAAGTCTGTCCTCTTCTACATCCAGCATGAGCTGCAGAAGGGGCTGGGCACTGTCTGGAGTCTTGTGATCAGGCCATGAAGTGTACCAGTAATGCTTCACATGCTGGGTGTGACTTCCTTGCTGAAAATAGCAGTAGCCACCAATTACTCACTCACTTGTGGAACTAAAAGGCACCCACACTACAACACCAAGTGATTTCCCTGGCTCCCTTCTTGGTGCCAGATCACTTCTAGGTAGGAAAGAAAAATCTAGAAGCTTTTCAAAATTCCCCTTTCACCTTGAGAAAGTTTTACTGTGGGTATCCTGGCTTGAGCAGGAAGGTGGAGTGCCTACCCTCTAAGAATAGAGGTCTGAATCTGTATTCATCATATAGATCACAGATGCACTATATATACTAAGTATATGTTTATAATATGCTGTAGTAACTGAAAAACGTGGCTACTGTTGAGGACAGGGTCTCACCATATAGCCCTGGCTGTCCTGGAACTTGCTGTGTCAATCAGGCTGGGCTTGAACTCACAGAGGTCCACCTGCCTCTGTGGTGGGATTAAAAGACTGTGCTACCATGGCCTGCTGAAGAGGTGAAAATATAACAGAAAGAAAGGGATGTATTGTGTTTCCTATTCTCTAAATCTTGACAAATCATATATAAAAATATGAGCCAATATAAGAATATTTGTTCGGTAAGAATCATTGTATACCAATCTCAAATGTTGGTATGTAACAACAGTGGGGAATCTTAGCAGGGAAGGAGCTATGTGGAATCCCCAAAGTGGAAACAATCTGAGGAAAGGCTCATACACACCATCGCAAAACCCAGAGCTCAGGTGGGAAAGCCTGCTTCTGATCAGGCACGTGTTTATAGATAGGTCTCCACAAAGCCTCCCTCTGCTACACTTTTGAATGGCAAACATGCCTGTAGCTCCGCCCTCACTGTCCTTTTCTCCATGATGGTTCTAACCCAGCAGTTGGCTGTTGATAGATAGGATTGAGGTCTTAGGTTGAGTGTTGCTTAAAAGTGAGAATAATACCGTGGCAATGCTAGTTAGCACCTGCTGCTCCATGAATTAAGTAAGACCACATTTCTGCAGTGGAAACTGGTCTAGGGATGTCCTTATGAGTGACTGTTAACTACAAGCTTTTGATGTTCTCATCAGCTCTGCAGGCTCTTCTTGCCTCCCACAGCCATGCATCAGTGTGGATTTTCTCTTCCATAGTTCTCAGGCCTCACCCAATGCTACTTCCACCACAATGATATAAGCATCAAAGTCCTGGTAAGGTCGCCTGTACAAGCCTTAGATAAGGACTTTTGAAGGTTAAGTCAGAAATGTCGTATAAATGAAATACAGATGATGCTAATGTCCTGCAAAGTGAACCGCCTTACCACCTACTTATATTAATTTAATTATTCCATGTTTTAACAGGATCAGACAACACAGAGGGAATGATGATGTCTTGGCTTTGGTCTCAGTATTATCCAGCTTGTGTAAGTTGAATCTCCTAGTACTTAGGATAAGTCATTTCAAAGTAAAAATGTACCCCTTATCCTTGCCTACTTTGAAGACAGCAACAGCTGTATAATCTTACCTTCAAGATGAGGTTTCGAATGGTGTAGTTGTCACATTCATTCACACCAATGACCAGAACCTCAACCTTGCCATAAATCCCTCTCTTTTCTGGCCAGTAGAGCACACATTTCTGGGGGTAGGAGAAAAAACACAGCAAAGCTTTGTAGTGCTCCTCCTCCAAAAGTCTGTTTTTCTCACTTAATTAAAACATCCAAAAGTTCCTGGGAGGCCTGTTCTTTTCTGAGGGGAGGCAGAGCAGGGTGTATTGGGGGAGGGTTGGGGGGGCAGGGGGAAGAGAAATTGTGGTCAGGATGTAATATGTGAGAGAAGAATAAAACTATTCAAAAGCTAGATTTTATTATTCTGTGAATATACTAATATGAGATGAACTGCATCGTGTATAGAGAGATGAACTGTATGATGTGTTGAGATGATTGTATGATATATAGAGAGATGAATTGTATGGTATGTAGAGACATGAATTGTATGCTGTATAGAGAGATCAAATGTGTGATGTGTAGAATAAACCCCAATAAAGTTTGTGTTTTAAAAGTGTTTGTCATGCTTTACTCTTAATCCCATACCAATCATAACAACAAGGTAAAATTTCCTTAACCTCTAATGAGGATTTAAGAATTCCATAACAAACAACAAGTATAAGGAATTCTCTCTCCTATGGTGGCTGAGGCCAGGTATTTGTCCCTGCTTCATCCAACCAATGTGTGTAACAGGAATACCTGTAATGTGTTAAATGCCATAGAATTCAACATCTCCTGGCATGCAAAGCATTATGTTTTCTACATCCAATGATGTGAACTTTTTCACTTATGAGACCTACTGGCGTAAATGTGGAACAAAATTATGCTTGACATGTTTTTGTAATGGATCCTCTGTGGCAGACTCAATAGGAGCAATAATAACGATATTGCAGACAAGGGGATATAACATGGTGGTTAAAGTGCAGGCTTTGGACTCAGAGGACTTGGGTCCAGATTTTAGTTCTGGAGCAGCACACTTGACCTCTCTGGACTCAGTCTTCTTATTACTTCTTACATGCCAAGTGCTTGGGACAAAGCCAGACATACAGTAAGTACTTAAAACATGCCATTGTTAACTATGCTTCTATTTCTTATTGCATGCTAGTTATTTATTTTGTGTGTATATGTGTATGTATGCGTGGGCATGCACACATCACAGGTCATGTGTGGATGTCAGAGAACAGATTTCTGGGATCCCTTCTCTCCTACCACTGTGTGGGTCTCAGGGATTTGACTTGGGTCATCAGGCTGGGTGGCAAGCGCTTTAGCGATTCAGTCTTTTTACCAGCTCTTGTTGCCAAAGTTTGTAAAACAGATTTTTTTTTATTTATGTGTGTACTTAAGAGCATGTGCACAAACATGCATGTAGTTCCATTCTCAGATATGTGGGTACCAGTGGAGACGAGATGAGGGCATCTGAATGTCTGGAGCTAGAGTTATAAGGCCGTTGCATGTCATCTCATGTGGGTGCTGGGAACTGAGCTCTGATCCTCTGGCAGAGCAGCAAGCACCTTAACCATTGAACCATCTCTCTAGTGCCCCTTCTCACCTTGTTGCTTTATTTTAAGGCTCCTGGGTGATAATTCCCAAAACATATACACATTTATATAGAAATTCTCTCACATCAGTTGAGAAAGCTGAGCTCTCTTGCCTTACACTGGCTTTTGAATTTATATGAATTTAACTTTTTTCAAATGTTCACTACATTTATCATACACTTGAAGAATCAAGTATCCTAGGTATATAAGACCCTGGCTGATGACAATATGCCAGTGCTGGCAAGAGGGCTCAGCTTGCTCAACTGATGACCTGAGTTTGGTCCCTTGATCCCACAGGTGGCAGCAGCAAGCCAATTCCACAAAGTTATCATCTGACCTTGGCATGTCCCCATCCCTACCCCTGTTCTCCCCATCCTGGAAAATAATGAATAAAATTTTTAAAAAAGTTTGAAAGACCCCTTCTTTTTAAAGATAGAGTAGATTGGTTCAGTCTCAGTCTTCGTGTGTTTATCTGGCTCTCTCTCTCTCTCTCTCTCTCTCTCTCTCTCTCTCTCTCTGTGTGTGTGTGTGTGTGTGTGTGTGTGTGTGTGTGTGTGTGTGTGTGTGTGTGTGTGTACAAGCCTATGTATCTACATGTAGAGACCAGAAGAGGATGTCAGATGTCCTGTACTATTATTCTCTGTCTTATCTTCTTGAGTTACTGGATCTGCAGGTAGGCTGGCCTTCAGAGAGCCCTACTAGTCCTCCTGTTTATGGCCCTGGGGTTACCGGATCACACAGCAGTGCCAAACTTCCTGTGTGGTCTCTTGGTATTAAAACTCAAGTCCTAGTGTCTGACCAGCAAGATCTCTTGTACAGCCCTGGATCCTATCCACTTATACTAACCCATTTGATGAGTTCCTTTCAGTGGAGCCTCATTTATTTCCCAAGCTATTGTGTATCCTAGTACTCATGTCTCCCAGCTGAGCCCAGGGAGACTGACAGAATCTTGGTTAAAATTGACCAAAGAAAGAGGTATATTGTGGCTCAGCTATCTCACGAGTGTCCTATTGTCCGTGTGCAGGCCTGAGCAGGAGGCCTCTCAAAACCAATGAGGAAATTGGCCAGGCAGGAGCCTGGAGCTTGCACCCTGATTCAAGTGGTGTACAATTTGAAACGTGGAAGCACAGTCCTCAGCTCTCCTAAACTGGCTTAGCCTTCTTGTGTTTTCCTTGATTCTTTACCAGAAAAGCAGCTGGCAGCCAGCTCCCAGCAGACAATGCAATATGCCTTGCTCATCCAACAACCTTTAATTAGCATCCCGTCTCCTTTCCAAGTTACAATAGCTTATTTTTACACACTGAACCCCCACCCTCTTGCATTGGAGGAAAATAGAAAAGGAGATATGCGTGGATGCTGGTGGGTATCTGCCCAGGGGTAGGGTAGGGCTGGAGAGGTAGTTGTTCAAGGAGCCCGAGTTCACGTTTAAATTATTGCCCTGAACTGCATCATAGGGCTTACTTATCATGGTGAGAACAATGACCCGAAAGAGGCAGAAAATGCTGTCTTGCAGATAAATTTGGGAACCCTCACCAAGTGTAAATAATTCAAGGAATAGGGGCTCTATTCACCCTATCTAGGTGAATCACCACTGTTGTTCTGATAACTGGGCTCACCCTTTCAGCAAAATTATATGTTAATCTCAAGAATCCATAATTTGGGGGAGAAAAAGGGATTTTAAGAGGACCATATAGATATTGTGTAAGCATTATGAACATTAATTAATTCTTTGAAGTTGGTAGTTCATAGCAATAGTGAAACACAGTGGTAGGCATAGTTAGGAATCTGATTGCCAAATAACATGCCTATTTCAAGGTTATATATTCATTAAAAATCAACAAGAGGTTTTCTGGCTGAGTTAAAGCTGTGCACCATCACATGAAAAATGGCTCTGAACTAAATATTCAGTTTTAGGCTCTGTTAATATGTGTAATACGTGAGAGGGATAGAACGGGAGCTGATTGTCTACAATTACTATAATAGGTTTTATAATTCCTAATGCATTATATCATTATGCTAAATATCATTAACATATGATCACCATCAATGTATCATTTGATCCCTTGCATAATCTTCTGAGGTTGATAGGTTTGAATGGCAATGACCCCCATAGGCTCACATGTTTAATGCTTGGTTCCCAGTCAGTGGAACTGTTTGGGAAGAAGTAGGAGGTGTGGCCTTGCTGGAGGAGGTTTCAAAAGCCCACACCAGGCTGAGTCTCGCCCCCTTCCCCCCTGCCTGCTGCCTGCAGATCAGGATGTAAAGCTCTACTTCAGAACCATGCTTGTCTGCTTCCTGCCACGGTGATCATGGACTAACCCTCTAAAACCTTAAGCAAGCCCTCAAGTTAACGCTTTCTTTTGTGAGAATTGCCTTGGCCACGGTGTCTCTTCACAGCAACAAAACACTAAGAAAGACAGTAGATAAGCAGCAGGTATCACTTGTTTTTAAATCATTTTTATAGGTGAGGACATGGAGAGCCTGGTGATTTGCAGGACTTTGTATCTCCTTGACCTTTTCTCACTCTAGAGTTATTAAAAATATTGATTTATCAAAAAATAGATCTTAAGACAAGATCCTTGTTCCATAGAGTTTTTCTCCATTTCTGGGCAGAAGAATAGTACAGCAGAGGACATGAGGCACCTCTGGCATCCATCTGTTACCACTGGATTAACGCTCTTGTCCAATCATGTCTGCAGTGAGCTTCAACAATGAACATAACCACCATCATGACAGGGTATCAGTATGAATCCAACATGGGTGCTCATTTTTCACAGAATCTAAGTGGAAATTTTTTTCTTGGATTTTGGGGCCTATATTTCTATTTCTGTGCCACACAAACTTTTTGAGGGGTAAGGGCTTAAGACAGGGTCTGGATATGTATCCTAGCCTACCTTTAAATTCAGGATCCTTCAGCCTTTGAAAAGGGTGTGCTATGCACTCAGCTTGACTTTTGGTGAAAAACAAGAACCAACAAAGAAAACTATAGTCAAATCAGGCCAATGAGACAAATACAAGGTTTTTGCAAAGCTTAAAAACCTAAATATGATTAACCACCAATACTGTTTTATGGGATTTTTCTGTATGCTCTCCCACTTAAAAAATAAAACAGGGAATTTTGATAATGTAAATATACATTTTATAACCTGGAGCATTAGTTGAAGAATCCCCCCCCCCGAAAAAACAAAACAAAACAAAACAAACTGAGCAAACTTCAGCCACCTTATTAAAAGGTGAATTTTACATGTGTGTATGCGACCAAGCATGGATGTGTGCACACATGTGAGTGCAAACCATAGGACAGTCTGGTGTGTTGTACTTTAAGAGAGAGGTTAGTGATTCTGTGTGACTGTGCTGGGGTTCCAGAGAATGATCCAAGTTTGGTGCTGAGATGTGTCAAGTACCTTGAGCTAAAGCGGCAGCTTCAGAATCAAGACTTACTTCCTGCCCATGCCCCTCAACCTTCAGAGCCCCAGGAAGCCCTGAGCTAGTGGCACCCTCTGAAGTGCCCTTATCTGAATGAGGGAAGATCTTCCAGACTCTCCCTAGAAGCTCCATCGGGGGATTCACCAGTGGAAAGAGATAAGAACTGACACCACGCCCAGAGCCCAAATGAACTTTGTTCAAGACTCTTATCTGTTCTTCTGGCCCATTTATTTCCCCTAAAGGCAATTTCTCAGGATGGTTATTATAGTGGCTTGCTCTGATAATCTCAGTACTCAAAGGTCATGGGGAAGAGATAGTGAGTTTGAGGTTAGTCTGGGCTACCTAGGAGTATCCTGACTCAAACAACAACAAAACAAAAAACTAATACACATGAGTAAACAAAACAAAACAAAACACACAGAAGACTTAAACCTAAACAAGAACCCTTTCCCCCCAAAGCATTTCTAAACAGCTTACACCACCCACGTCATTCTCCCACAGGAAAACCGTTTATAAGTGTTTTAATCTTATCGGTTTATTGAATGTTCACTTTTCATTCTTGCGATGTTACAGTATATCCACAATGTTTATTTTCCTCTCCTGTGGCTCTATGTTAGCTTACTCCAGCAGACTCAGTTTCTGAAACTTCAGAGAGCAGAGAGGAAGTTCCTTTATACTTATGGTGTGTTCTGTACTATCCTTAGCTGTAATAGGATTTTTCAAAAAGATTTTGTCATTTGGACAGGTAATTTCACATCTATGAATATAATATCTCAACAAACATTAGCTAGTGAGAGGTGTGGACCAAAAATCAAAGCAATTTAAACATCTATTGATAATCAAATGACTGCTTTGAGTTTTGATATATGCACACAATGGGATCCAGTAATATTTTAATGAACTATGGCAAAGAGGATATTCACAATGCAATGTTGAAAGCATAATATACAATGGGATATGAGTACCCCATTGTTCTCTTTCTATCAGTTCTACGCCTTCCTATGTCTTCTATTAGCACAAATTCCATTTTCATCTCTTGCCCACACAGACCTCTTGACTCCCCAAAGTCTCTAGGACTTCCAAAACTTCATACTTTAAATGAAAAGCTCATTCTCTTCCCTCAAAATCCCCCCTTGTTCTCCCAATTTGGGTTCATGGCACCCCCATACACTCAGCTCTAAACCACAGTCCAAGGCTCCTCTATCTGCCTCACTTTCAAACATGACAGAGCACCTCTCAACTCAATTCCCGTTTCTCAGGAGCCCACTGCTGCCTTAATTCAGTACCTCATTATTTCTTGTCTGGACCATTGCTACAACTTTTTAATGTATTTCTCTTTGAGTTTCCCAAATCCAAACCCCAGATCTTCTACCAACTGTGCTCCTAATGTACAAGTGACACCGTCACTCCTCATTAAAAAGATTCTCCACAATCTGTAGGAGGAAACACCAATGATTTTAGTTTAGCTTTGGATCCTTGTTGCAAACACCCTTTTTAGTCTCATTTTCCTGGCTCCCCACCATGCCACCTGTGCTCCAGGCACACTAGATTGCTCACATCTGGCAAGATAAGTGGTTTCTTGAATGCCTCCATGTGCTGTTTTTTTGGGGGTGGCAGATACTCACACTTCAGCTCCCTAGGCATTGTGTTAACTTTTTTGGTCAAAATACGTAATTGAAATGAATGCTTTGTATAAGTTTTTCAGACAGAGAGGGAAAGGAATGAAAGACAGGGAAAGTCAAAATGTGATTGCGCTGTAGGGGGGCATTGAAGTTAAACTGTTTGCAGTGGCTAAATAAGTGAACTTGTTAGCAAAAAAAAAAAAATAGTGTGCATATGTAAAACTTAAGTCACTCTGTTAAGTCAGACAGAAGTTTCTGGAAGTGAGAAAGGCGTGCCTGTGTCAAGTACTTGACAGAAGTATGCTAGACTCAGCCATCAGGTAATCTCTCCACTTCAAGAAAGATAAATCCAGAATCTTATTTTTTTTTTCCTGACATCAATAGTGGGCTGTTTATCTTCTCATAATCCCCACTTCAGTGGGTTGCTACTGCATTAGGGCAATGATCAGGTGTCTGGGCTTCAGCATTAACCAAGCCTGAATTAAAACCTGGGACCCATCACATGCTAACTTTCAGGCTCTCTTAAAATGCCACCTTGCCTCTGAGAAGTTTTTTCATGTAGCATGTGCTAAACACAATCCCAGGGAAATCCAGGTCTTTCTCACTCTCTCTCCACAGTATTGGTGTTACTAATCCTACATTAACACACTCAATAAATGAGGTGTTGGCATTGGATAGCTAGCGCTTAGCACATGAATTCAGTGCACTATAGGGACATCAACATTTCCCATGGCATATATGCTGTGCTCAACATTTCTTTCCTTTCTTTCCAAGATGAAGCAGGAGCTACAGTGAGTGACAGTCAGAGGTGCCTGAGGATTTTGACTCATTGTAAGATTGTAAACATTGTGTGTGTGTGTGTGTGTGTGTGTGTGTGTGTGTGTATGAGAGAGAGAGAGAGAGAGAGAGAGAGAGAGAGAGAGAGAGAGAGAGAGAGAGAGAAGTTTGCACTATGCAGATCAGGCAGGCCTTGGTCTTGTGATCCTTTCCAGGTGCTGAGACTACAGGCATGAGTCATCACATTGAGCTCAAAGGGGACTGTTAGTCTGCCATTCTGTCTTTTTTTTTCTTTTTTCTTCTCTCTCTTCTCCTCTCTTTCCTCTTTCTTTGTTTCTTTTTTTCTCTCTTTCTCCTTCCTTCCTCTTTCCTTTGTTCCTTCCTTTCTTCCAAATTTCTTGGTTCGGGATCCCTAGGACCTACATAGTCTAAGCAAGTACTCCAACACTGAGCCATATCTACAGTTTTCACCACTTGCCAGTTTTGATCCTACTATTATAATTACCTTCTTTAGTAATACAATAATTGATACTAAAAGAATGTGAACACTGTTTTCTATATTACTTTACTTCATAAGAAATTCCTTTCATGTTGAGTCTCATTTGAAAAAATGAAAGAACTCAAAATTGCCTCAGAAAATCATTTTTCAGTTCTAGTTTTTTAATTTTTTGTTTACTCTCATTTTGTAAAACATACCTGAGATTATTGGGATTATTAAAAGAAAGATGGTGACTATTCATTTCTTTATTTATTAGAAAGTGAACAGTTCATAAACATATAAAGCGTGGGAACTTCTAAAGATATCTCCACCTCCGTACTCTTTGGAGGAAATGATTTTTGTCTATTTTAAACAATGACACTGAGAACAATTGAATGCTGGCTGGTGTTCAGTAGCCAGCATTTTCCTGGTGGTGTGAACCTACAGTGTATCCCTTTAAAGCAAACTTGTCAGTATCGTGTTGATCTGTAGAACATCAGAGTTTCTAAGATGATATTACATCTGTAATATGCCTGGGCATGAAGGATTTTTATTTTAATTTAAAGGTGAAGGAATGGCTAAAAACATTGTCTTGCACTGTTTTGGATTGTGACTGCTACAGGAAATAAACAAGCAGCAGATCACACAGCAAATATACAACATGTTTGACTTTCATATCCCTGGGAGTATATCTCAAACATTAGAAAAGATAAAAGGCCAAATGCTAAAAATGAAAAACAAACCAATAAAGTATGCCTCTAAGTTCTGAGTTATGCACCAAAGAGAAAACAAAATCCTCAACATTTTAATGTGAGAATTATTGTTAAAAAAGATACTCTAGCTTTCATTAGATCCACACGGCTCTCCTGAGGATGCATTGAAAACAGAATGGAAGCAAAAAATTAGTGAAAAGGAGTTCTCCCTTGTGAGTACATGGTGGAAAACGCCTGCAGACCCCCAGGGGTTGCCCTAAATGGTGTAATAATTTTGATAAGAAAACAATGAAAACAAATATCAACTAAAGTCGACCGTTAATTATTTCAGTAAGAGGCCTAACACACAAGCAATGCCTGAGAAGGCAGCCTCCAGGAACTGCTCGATCTTCTTGTTACCATGTAAGATATAGAGTAAGTCATTCTTGCAAGTCAAATCCTTAGGAAGATTGCCAGTGTGGAAATAAATCTACATTTGCCTGTTATGTGGGGATTTCTTACTATAAGGCCATTGGAAAAGTTGTTTGGTTTTTTTTATCACTTCTCTCCAATGTTTCTTTCAGTCTCATTTTCCTAACGAGTCCCTCCTTGTCCCCTATTTCATGTTGTCACCCACTCCTCCCCATTGTACTGCCCAGTCACTCCCTCGTCTTGCTCTGGTTTGTATCCAACAGAATCTATCCATTCTTCTACTCTGTAATTAACAGATTTATTGTGTCTCCTACTAGGAAGTTAAAATTATCAGTGAAGGGATCTTGCTGTATTTTATTTGCTTGTATTTATTATATATTTATTTCTTTATATGTGTATTTTAATACATACAACTGCCAGCAAACAGAATGGCATCTTTTAAAAAGTAAAACAATTACTTGCTTTTGGGGTAATTTTTAATTTCCTTGCCCTTTATGTCTTTATTAAGATACATGTGTGCAAATGAGATACATGTATGCCACATATGCTAAATTGCTTGAAGGAAGATTGTCACTTATAGAACAATACCCATTATCATTTTCTGGAGGTATAAAGTGACCTTATCGTTTCACATTTATGTTCCATTTTACAGGAATATTTTGGAAGTACACAGTGATCTCATTTACTCCAGATATCTCCAATAGCAGGAGTAACATGTGTAACATTCAGAACTGGGCCAAACATCCTACCTCATTTTTCTCCTTGAGCTTTGTGATCATAACAATCACGGGGCTGTCTTCCTGCCAAACCATCTGCCAGAAGTCGTTCACAGTGTTGATCATGGGGCCCTGTGTGGCAATGAAAGCCTTCTCCTTCCCATTGTAGCCCTATTTGGAGTAAAGAGACAAACATATTAGCTTATGTTCATGGATTGCCAAGGACATTTGTCGGGGGTGATCTTCAGAATATCAGAGCTGCCTTGGCACTAGCACCACCAGGCACATATGTGGTACTTCCTAGAAAATCCAGCTTGCCATTTGGCAGTGAGGTTTGTAAAGTTCCATTTTATAGTGTCCACATGGAGTCTGTACTCATACTCAGGGACTCATAGACAAGGAGGACTCACTGTAAAACACTTGTCACTGGAGTTGATGTGACTACAACATACATGCACGAAAACACTAGTGACCAAATTAAAGAGAACTCGATTCTGGGGAAAGAAGAAAGAAACAAAGCTGGGGGAGGGTTTTTTTTTAGGTTTTTTTTGGGGGGGAGGAGGAGATAAAATAGTAAGTCAACATGTCAACCAGAGAGAAATGCATAGTTACTTACCCGAATATAATTAGCGTTAATGTAAGTACTCAACGCATCGGTGATATTTTTTGGTCTTAAACACACTCTGCTGAGTGGATCTAAGGAGGAAACCAGAGAGAACACACTGAGTAGATTTACTTTCCAAGAAATTCTCTAGAGTAACCCTAAGCAGCAAAGAGAAGTGTGTAAGTTCAAGGCTGTTAACTCAGTGTCAGTGTTTGTCTTGGGTGCACGTGTGTGTCCATCTTTTCATCTATCTGTGGCATTTGGCTTCCCCAGTTTGACCCCTGATTCTGACATAGGTCATGGCATGTTTCAATGGAGTTCTGGTTTTTGACTCCTCTCTCATTTGGACCCTTTTCTTTTTCTTTAGGGTCTGAATGTACATCCTACTTTTCTTCCATTCCTTCAGAATGAATTCGGCTGTCCAATTCTTTGTGTTTCTTTTTCTTTTTTTAAATTTTCCTTCCTTCCTTCCTTCCTTCCTTCCTTCCTTCCTTCCTTCCTTCCTTCCTTTTCTCTCTCTCTCTCTCTCTCTCTCTCTCTCTCTTTCCTTCTTTCTTTTTAGCTTTGGAGCCTAGAACTCGCTCTTGTAGACCAGACTGGTCTCCATCCAACTCACAGAGATCCGCCTGCCTCTGCCTTCCAAGTGCTGGTATTAAAGGTGAGTGCCACCACTACCTGGCTGTATTTCACTACATCATCCAATCCAGCCCTTCAGGACCTAACCCTGCCTAGTCTTGAATCAGTAAGATTGAAACATATTGGTATCAGGATGGGTATGAAGATAGGGCAAGCAAGGGGAAAAGGAGGTTAAAAAAAAAAAAAAAACCAAAAAAACAAAACACCGCAGCTCAATGTATCAAGTTCTCAGTCGGTTTATAAAATCACAAATATTATTGATCACTATTAGATGTCACTCTGCTCTCAGGGCTTTAGAGGTCTTACTTGATCTAACTTGTAAGTCTAAGAAAAGTTCCCTAGATAGTGGCTACCACTCTTTCAGCATTTTCCAAACAAACAGAATCTTGTTCATAGAGGGGTGGGTCTTCTCTCAGTTTCAACCAAAATGCTACAAAGCTTCCTCCGATGTATTTTTGGATGACCCAAAAGAAGCAGAGTGACTTCGAAGATACTCAGGGACCCATTAAGGAGTCAGGTGTGACCTGAGAGAGGATAAGTGACAGGGGCTCAACATGGACCTCTTTTGGGAGGTGGACTTTCAGCACTTGTGGGAATTTCTCTGAAGGGTCATTGTGGACAAATTCCCTGGCCTGGTTTCCTTGACTTTTATTTCAGCATTCACCATTTTATGTTCTAAGTGCTTACATTTCTGCCTGCCCTCAATGGGTTGTAGCAAGATTCTTGAAGAAAGAAACCATGTTTGACTCACATCTATGTCTTTCATAATTTCCATTTGATATTTGATTCCTAAAGAGTTTAATTCTAGAATGAATTTCCACTGACTGGTTCAAACAGTGCTTTTGATTTTTCTAGAGTGTGTTTGACTTAGGGTCTGCTGATTGCTAGGTGTTTTGCACTGGTGCCTTGAGCCATTGCAGCTTGAGAAGGGACCCCAGTTTCCTCAGGATTTATGCCTATGGAACATATGAGTTACAAAGCACCTGCTTGGTAAACCACTCAGATTCTCTCAAGCTAAATTAAGTTTATGAAAAAATAAATAATGTATTTAAGAGTTGAAGTACTTGTTATTTTTATTTTATGTACACTGGTGTTTTGCCATAGGTGTTGGGTCCCCTGAACTGGAGTTACAGACAAGTTGTGAGCTGCCATGTGGGTGCTGGGAATTGAACCCAGGTACTCTACAAGAGCAGTCAGTGCTCTTAACTGTTGAGCAATCTCTCCATTCCAGTACTTGGTGTTTTTGTTTGTTTGTTTGTTTTGGTTTGGTTTGGTTTTGGGTTTTTTGGTTTTTCGAGATAGGGTTTCTCTGTGTAGCTTTGGAGCCTCTCCTGGCACTCGCTCTGGAGACCAGGCTGGCCTCGAACTCACAGAGATCTGCCTGCTTCTGTCTCCCGAGTGCTGGGATTAAAGGCGTGCGCCACCAACGCCCAGCCCAGTACTTGTTATTTTTAAAATGGGGTATAACATGATGCAGGGAAGGGCAGTTTTCCAGCCAAATCCTTTTTCTTTCTTGTTCCTTCCAACCTTCTTCCTCATTTCTCTCAATTCCTCCTTCTTTATCACTTTCCTTCCCTTTTCTTTTTCTCCTCAACATTATTGGACATAATTATATACTTGTTGCAACAAGTCTCTGAGGATCTCCTTCCCTGGTCTCACTAACATATCCATTATAATCTTGAGCATTCTGTTTACCAGACAAAATGAAATCTGATCGGTATTTTAACCGACATAAGAACAGACATCATGAAAGGTGACTGTGTGCTTAAGATTTTCCTTCCTGGCAGAAATACACTTGAGGTTTGGGGGAAAGAGAAGTGGTAAGACAGAAGTTTATTCCTATGAGTCCCGGGCAAAGCCAGGGGGCAGGAATAATATAGTTTTCATAGATGAATTCAAAAGAGGTGGGAGTTGGGGGGAAGAACAGGATTTGGTTGCATAGTTAATGTGTCCATGACCCATCTTTGACCTCACTGCAAAAGACAGAGGACTCCAGGACTATGCCGTCCAATACAGCAGCCACCAGCCGTGAGGAGACTTAAATTTAATTAACTTAATTAGATAACATGTTGAGTGCAGTCCTAAGGTGCATTAGTGGTACTGCCAGTGTTCAATTACCACATATTGTGTTTTATGAGAAATACAGAACAGCCACATGTCATGGAGAGCTGACCCCTACAAGGCAGGATGGTGATGACATAGAAGCTTATGTGTAAGGATGATGAGAAAATAAGAAGAGAAAATGGGGCTCTCAATAGTCTACTTTCGAAACAAGATTCTCTTATACATATAGTGTTTACTTATTTCCTGGAATCTATTCTAGGTAAATGAAGGAAAGACATCACCATCATTTAGATATGGAAGGAAAATAGAATCTAATATTGGTTGTTAATCTATTAATCCATTAGTTAGGACTCTGCTAGTGAGTCTGCACATTGAATGTCTTCAATAGATATAGAGGGTAGTACTATTGCCCCTGTTTTTTTGGGAGGGGATAAAGAAAGGATGGGGAAAAAAGATTAAGTAACCCATAAACACTGTAAGATTTTTATATGAATGGGAAAGGAAACCTTACTCTAGTGTCTTGCTTTAGTTGTTGCCTTAGTGAGCATGTCATATAAATCTAATACATATAGCAAACACTATTGAGAATTCTTATTAAATGTTACCATTTATATAGCAAATAATGGCCAAAGTAAACATGGCTTTGCAGTTTTGTGTGTATATTGCTTTATAGTTACATAAATAAGTAAACATATATGAAGTGCTATTATGTATGTTGATTGTGTGTCATGACTCCATACTGATGCATGTTTGTTGCTGCTTTGCTGTTTCTGTGGTCTGGGATATAAGCTTTATACCTCTAATGTTTGTTTATACTGCAAGACAATTTGATCCAAACTTGGCCTCTGGACCTTAATCTATTACTTAGCCTGTTCTAGCTAGACATTGTCCTCAAAGAAGCAGCAACAAGCCATTGACTGCTGGTTATCCATATACCCACAAACCAGGTAGTCTTACCAGTATGTATGCACATAGATAATCTTCAAACCCATGGGCTTATTATGGGCTGTAGCAATAAAGGCAATCTTTAAAGTCCTGATCATCTGCTAAGTTTCAATTCATGTGACATTTCAATTTTGTGTCATATTAAAGTCTAAAACAAGTCACATAGAATAGCTGTGTCTGTCATTACAGTCTCTTCTGATAGTTGGAGCTAATGGTGTGGTGTGTCTAAACCATCTATTCTGAGTCATAGTTTGTGAAATGAGAGTGGGAGACATTTTCAGGATACAGATACTTTCCACTGAGGATCCATCATCTGCAAAATCAGTTGTCAGCAGAGGTGTCCTGGATCAAGTGGTCCACCTCGTTCTAGAAGTGGAAGAGCTGACACAGTCTGTGTAGTCTTGTCTGCCATCACCCAGGACAGGAAACAGAGAAGGCTGAACTTTGAAGTAACCCGAACAAACTGAAAACTCTTTTGAAACCAGAGGACTTATAGTCATTGCAGTGGGGACACTGGTCCTGATTACTGAATGCTTGGTATAATTGAGGGGGGGGAGAGAAGGAGGGAGGGAGGGAGAGGAGAGATCCTTTTCATCCTCTTCTGGTATAGTCATAAATAAAATACCTTTAATAATGAACTATACCTTAAGAAAAAGACTTAACTATTTTGACTCATTAAAAATACACACCAGCAGAACAATTTTGTACCAGTGGAGGAAGCCCATCTACAACATTGATAGTAATTCTTTAATTATTTGACTTTAGTATGTTTTTATCACTGCAAATATGAAAATGTATTGTATCTTTTTGTATTTTATATCTTATGAGTAAATAAATAAAATACTATTTAAGTGTCAGTGCCTTTTCCTTTTTAAAAATGAACATGTATTAATTATAAGAATTGTTTTAGCATGACATTTCCATATGTTTACATAATGTTTTTTGATCACAGTGATCCCCCCCATTAACCTCTCTTGTCCCTCCTCGTCTGTGTGCTTCCTTCTCTTCTCAAAAGTTTCTCTTCTATTTTCATGTCCTTTAGAATATATCTTGATTCTGCATATGAAAAATATGTGATATTTATCCTCTAGTTTGGCTTAATTCCATCCATTCTCCTATAATTGACCTACTTTAATTCCTCTTGATGCCCAACTAGTACTCCGTAGCGTGTGCATACCACACTTTCTTTGGGTATCCATGTGTTGATGGGCTCCTATGCTGATACTGTAACTTGTCTATTGCCAATAGTTCCACAATAAAAATGGCTAGTGTTTTCTAAATAATATATCTGTTGTATGCCTACTTAGATTCTCTAGAGGATATAACCAGAAATAGATAGGTGGACCATATGCTAACTCTATTGTTAATTTTTAAAGTATCCCCCATATTGATTTCCATAGTGGAAGGAATTAATTCATTTTTTTCACCAGTCATGTTGAAGGGAACTCTTACTCTGCCACTCACCAGCCAGCATGTATTATTACTCAGTTTTCCATTCTAACTTGGGTGAACCAGAATCTCAAGGTAGGCTTTGATTGTTTGTTTTGCATTTGTGTGTGTGTGTGTGTGTGTGTGTGTGTGTGTGTGTGTGTGTGTGTGTGTGACCATGTAGCTCAGGCTAGTCCCAAACTGTGGCACTCCTCTCCACTCAGTTTCCTCAGTGCTGGAATTACCAGCATGTGTTGCCACCCTGGCTCAATGTCATTCTGACTTGCATTTCCCCTATGGTTAAGGATAGTGAACATTTTCATGTATTATTGGCCATTTGTACTTTTGGGAACTGTCAAATTCATTGCTCACTTACACCAACACATTGAAGGAATGTGTTTGTGGGTCATCTTTCTAGAGTTATTGCTACAAGATGTGTATGAATTTTGCCAAAACCTGAACTATATTTATTTGTTTATTGATAGGAAATGCTCCCTCTCTTCCATAATGTGTCACTTTCTTATGATGACATTTGAAACAACAACAAAAATCTTTAGTATTTCAATGAAGCTCATTCCATTTGTCTTTTGGTGGCTGGTACTTTCGTGTCATGGAAGAAACCACTGGCTACTTTAAGCTTAGGAAAATTTATGCCTTTTCTCTCTTTGTTTTTTGCTCCTATCTACATGCAAGTACCTGATCCATTTTGGATTAATTTTTAGATATAGTCCAAGGCAGGGTTCAACTTCTTTTTCCATCATGCATGGAAAACTCAGTTTAGCCACAGTGTGTGATGCAATTGTGCTTTAAAATCATGGATCTTCTGGAACTGTGAGTTGATCATTGGGATGAAAGCAATGTGAGATAAAGTTATTCTGCTTCAGATAACTTTAGTGCTGACTAGTCTTGACCTACATATTTTAACTCTTAAGTGTGGTGTCTATTAGAGTGTTATCAGGGTTGGAAAGGGTGAGGTGGAAGTGAATGGGTGATGTGGTTTTACAAGGCAAGCTATTAGCTCAAGAAACTTACTTGGCAAAATGGTCTTATAACGATTTTTCGTTCCATGGCGTGGAATATCAATTTCTTTGGGATCCACAAAGTTCATTGGTATTTCCTGCAAACATAAATGATACTGAATTGTGTATCTAAGGCTGACACAAAGAAAATCTCCCCAGGTGTCATGGGCTCTGTGATCTACTGGATTTCAAAGGCATTTTACAAAACGACAGACTATCCTGCTGGCTGACCAACATCTTTCCTTTCATAAACAGGTAAGACGCAGCCTGTAAGCTGACTACTAAGAAGCATCACTGTGTGTTTGGAAGTATTATTTTGTATGTAGTCACTAGAGAGGCAGAAAACACCCTGCTTCAATAGTAAGCACTGCTGTGACATCACTTAGGAAAATACATTTAAACACACACACACACACACACACACACACACACACACACACACACACACACACAATATATTCAACTTTCTTCAGAAAGTTTTTATAAGATCAGCAAAATTTCATTCTTTTAATATCAATTTGATTTTATAATCATTTAAAAATTCCCTCTAAAAGTGATAACTATGGAAGGATTGTTGCTGTTGATCCATGTGCTGAAATGCTTTTTAATTAAGTGCTCTTTATAATTGCACTGTTTCATTTGTGGTTATAAACGGGATACTTTTGGGAAAAGGGATCCACTTTTCTCCTATTTAAGAAGACAATATTTTTATATGGGAAGAATATATATTGCATGGTTCAAGCAAACAAAGAGAAAGAGTTAGGATGGAAGTGGCTCTAGGTCTTTCCTTGAGACCTAAAACTGAGAGCATCCTCCATCCTTGTATGACTGAGCTCAAGTAATGAGAAAGAATTTTCAAAAGGACATAGGCAAGTATTTTAATAATTGCTTATAAAAATACAGTATTTCTTAACATAAAATTCTTAAATGGATTGAATAAATTAGGGTGATATGAAATAAAATGACTGTGTTGTTTGGTGATTAAATGAGCATTAGGTTCTTCCATCTTATAAAATATATTCCTCTTCTGAAGTCGATTGCCTGACAAGTCACACAGTGACAAATCAGATGTGTGTTGTCCTTTTCCTAAATGTCAGGTCTCTTTCAGTGCCTATGCTAAAATATATGTTAAAACCTTTTCTTAATAAACTCCAGATTTGCTTCATTAAGAAAGGAATCAGTGAATTAACTTTAATGTATAAAAGTAAGTGGCCCTAAGGAGAAATTAAGCCAAAGAGGTTTTGGAGAACTTTTCTGAGAATGTCTCCTTAGATTAGGGAGACTGAGCACCCATCTCATCAAGCCTAGTTTCTAAGCAGTTTGGGTGATCTGCATCCAAGGGCTCTGCTATTTTTGTAAATATTTGAAATACCTTTCACTGCAAGTAATAAGTGGGGTTCTCTATTGCTTTCTATTTAGCAACTATATTTCCTAGAATCCAGTTTTTATGTGAAGGCAATAAATTTTAATTACTGGCTGGAGGAATTTGGCATTTTACTGTGCATATACTGCTGGGTGGATTCACATTGCTTTATTAGCTGGCATAGGATTGAGAGGTGTGAGTTAATGCTAGTATATGTTTGGTGGGCTAAGACTTTTGCTTTGTAGTTTAGTTTGCAGATGGATAGCCTTCCCTGTTGCTGCACATTAGATAAATTGTGTTGTGTTCTTTACTTGAAATATTAACTTCCAATGATCAGATGTAAATATTTCCTCCTTTGTTGGAAAGAAATGAAATATTTAAAATAAGTCTTTCCCAAGTCACTTAGAAGAGAAGCCTCAAATATAAAGTCAGAAAATCTTCCTCTTACAAAATAACAAATTTACCTTGTTAAATTATATGCATGAAAACAAATTGCCATGTTGTTTTCATACATATAATATACTTTGACTACACTATCTTCCATTTTTACCAGTTCTCTTTTTTTGGGGGGTTTCCAAGACAGGGTTTCTCTGTGTAGCTTTGGAGCCTATCCTGTCACTCACTCTGGAGACCAGGCTGGCCTCGAACTCGTGATCCTCCTGCCTCTGCCTCCTTCAGCAAATCCTACTGGCTTTACTAGTTCTCTTTATCCCAGTTTTTGTTGGAAAAAATAACAACAAGGAAACAAGGAAGCTCATGCAGAACTTCATGAACTGGCCATGTCACAGCTGATTGGAATCACTGACTGCCGTGTACCCATCTGCTTGGTGGGTGTGCTGATTTTATGTCAGCTTGACACAAGCTGGAGCCATCTCAGAGGATGGAACCTCAACTGAGAAGAAAGCAGGCTGAGCAAGCCATGAGGAGCAAGCCAGTAAGCAGCACTCCTCCATGGCCTCTGTGTCAGCTCCTGCCTCCAGGTTCCTGCTCTGTTTGAGTTCCCATAGTCTGTTCATCTGAAAACTCGAGAAAAGCCAGGGTATAACATGAACTGAAACCTTGGTTACAGAGAACAATTTTATTTTAAAAGAGTCACTTGATTAAATTTTGTTATTTTAGTCTCTTAAGACAGTCTCTACTCACTGAAACATTTAAGTTTCTTAGTTCCAAGCCATCAAAATAAGGTTGTCAAATACTCAAAAGAAAGCATTTATTTATTTATTTATTTGTTTGTTTGTTTGTGGGCAAGATCTCATGTAGCTTTGGCTTCCCTCAGACTGACTGTGGAGCTAAGGGTGACCCTCAATTTCTAATCCACCTTCCTCTACTTTGAGTGGCATGCGCCACAATTTCAGGTATATATGGTGCTGGGAATCAAACTCAGAGCTTCACATATGCTAGGTAAGCACTCTGGCAACTAACCCAGCTCCCCAAAGAACATGTTCATTTTTAATAATTTAAACAAGTCAGTCTGCTTTGACAACGCCACAGGGAAGATGACATTTTTATAGCCTCTTTTCTTTCACTTCAACCTGTTTTCTGACACACATTGACAATCAGGATCTCACATTGTTGCTCTCCTTGTTGGCCCCATCTTTCCTTCTGTGGGAAGTAGGCTATGTTAAAGGCTCTTTCATAAACAAAGACATAGTGACAGCCCCAGAACAGGTACTAGATGATTTTGCTATGCAGTGTGACCATTTCATCTCTGGGTTTCATTTGCTTCACATATAAAAACATGACTCACTGTGGCATCTCATTTTTAAAACTCCACATTGGTATTTATTTTGGAAGCTTGATGATAGTTGGTGTCACTAATAGGGAGTCTAGCAGATTACTGATATTTCTCTACTAGTCCAATTCCAAATATCTGAATTGACCATAAAACCATCTACTTATTATACTTGATCACTGTAGATTAAGCTGTGTTACTGCTGTATGATGTAAAGCTATATAAGCAGTGGGCATTCCCTCAGGCAATACCCACAAAGTTAACTCCCACCCCATTCTCTCTCTGTGTAATGTCTTACTGTGCATTAAGTTACCTGATGCAATACTTATTTTTAAAAAGCTGAATGTCATACAGCACTCACCATTGTTTTAAGGCCATGCTTGGTCTCTCCTGAATTCTCTCACCCAAGTTAAAGAACAATAAACAAAACAAAACAACCCTGAGCACTGCCCCTAACTTCCATTTCTTTTGGCTACCTCATGTAATGAAACCAACATTTCTTGAATTCTCTTAAATTTCTGAGCGTATTTTTAGTGTTGACACCTTCTGAGTTCTGGTTTCCATGGAATTACCTCTACTCTGCTTCCTTCTAGTGCCTGCAGATGCAGTGGCTTTTCTAAAGCAGGTTAAATCCTGTTCCTAAACACATATTACAATTTGTGTTGTTTTGTTTCCCCTTCTTTACCTTTCTAAGGCTCAACTTTTGCCACTTCTCATTTTGACTTCAGTGCTCCAGTAAACCCGAACAAGTCAATTCCCCACAATCACAGAAAGGCTGCTTCCTAATCATGAAATGCCTTTCTCTGCTCAACTCCCCAGTGCCACTGCTGACTCTCACAGGCTCCTAGTCCGTTAAGAATTGTGTTGTAGTCTGAACAATCAGCAGGTGATGAAACAGGGTGGCTCTAAAGTCAGGACTCTCTACCTAATGCCTTGCAACCATTTGCCCACAGTGAGCTGCTCGAGGGAGGACAGCGCCATTTCCAGCTCTAGTGCTGAGAATACTAAAACTGAGGGAAAAAGAGCAGGCTCACCATGAATTCACTTTGAAGTAAGTGGGAAGTTGCTACCACATCTCTCAGCTGTGGCCTTGTGAGAACACGGCTGGCTGACTGCAGGTATTCCATGGCTATCTTCTCCCGGGGGGTCTGGACAGCCACAAAGGGTTCCACATTGCCCAAGCTGCTCATGTCCAGGGTAAGAGATACATTGGACCCTCGTCTACATGGGAGAGAATGTTATTACATTTAAATATTACATGTATTGTCTTGATCACACAGATTGTCTTTTTTTTTTTTGCACAATAACACAGTTCAATGAGATCTTTCCAGAAATAAAGATCATATATGTATATATTTGGCATGACTGACTACAGCAAGTCTCCATAGTTCCTTTACAGGAAATTGGCAATTTTATGTTGCAAACAATTCTGAATTGAGAACATGTGCTGTAAGTTATTAGTAAGCATACTTGTTGCAGAAATAATAAGACGGTTAATAATTTTAAATAAAAAAGAATCAGTAAAGGTAGACACATTTGAATTGCGAAATCATAGGTAATACAAAAGAACATGTATTTTTTGTGTATGTCTGGGAGTTTGAGATGTATATTATTGTCACTGAATGCTTTAGCCATTTCACGATGTAGGTGCTTTTCAAAATAGTACATACTATACCATAAACAAACATACCTTTGATTGGTTAATTAAAACAGCAATCTCTATGATAGTTCAAATTATTGCATTAATATAGAATGTAAATGTTTTAAAATGTATGTGTGTATGTAAATGTATGAGTGTAACATCTGGATAAACCCTTTGTAGCAAGTGTGGTGGTTCGTACCTGAAATTCTAGAGGTTGGGAGATTAGAGGAAAGGAATCAGGAGTTCAAGTTCATTCTCAGTTACCTAGGAGTTTGAGGCAAACCTCGCCTACACAAGACTATCTCAAAAACAAATAAAAAAGAGCCGAATCAAACAAAGAGAAAAAAATCTTTGTGATACATATATATGCATATATATATATGTACATTATGTATGTATGTTATTCATTTTATTTGTGAAACTGTTAAGAGGCCATAGAGATCACAGACCTATAGGCTAAATTTCAGTTTATCTTTTCTTTATAATTTTCTTTTCTTCTTTTGGTAAGTAGTGACTGAAGTCCTTCTTCTTACATGGACCCTGATGTACTGTGTAGAAGATGTAAGTCCCTCTTAGCAGTTATAGTAGCTGAATGAAAAGTAGCTATAAAAGAGCGTTGGCAACCAATGTCTGTCTGCATGGCTGTTCCTACGAGACAGCATTTGAGAAAAGGAGATTTGAAGCCAGAGACTGCTCATAGAGATTTCGAGTTAGAGTACAAAGGCATGTGTCGGGATATTAATAGAGTGCCTGCGTCTGGTGTCCCACAGAAGTGGAGAGCAGGGAGCAGTGGGTCAAAACATGAGAAGAAAGACAGTAAGAGGAAATTCTGACCCTGGGTCAGCTCCTCTGAATGGCAGAGAAGACACCAGAAAGGAGTTAATTGCCGAGCCTCCATCTTAAACAGTGGAAAATACACAACCAGAGAAACCTACTAAACAATCATCTTCCATCAGTTCCTGACTCTCCTGTATCTGCTGTGTATACAGCAGTGGGGCTTGTCTACCGTTTGATAGGCAATGTGGCTTCTCTACTCTCCAAATGAATGGCAGCTGTAGTGCTGATTCATGTTTTTACTTCATGGATATTTATTTTTATTTTTTTGTCACTAAATGATATACTTTAAAAAAATCACTTTTTGGTTTGTTTTATTAATTGCCTAGCTAGCTGGAGTCCTAAGCCAATTTAGAAGCAACTTTTCTGGAGCTGAACCAGATCTTCAGCAGAACTGCACAAGCTATACAACTTTAAGAATTAATTTGGTAGACTGGCACACAAAGCCAGGGGCTTCAGCACTGCATCCTCATACATACATACATGCATGCATGCATACATACATACATACATACATACATACATACATACATACATACATACAACTTTGCTTGATGGGGGAAGTGCTTCTGTTTGACCAATGAGTCAGCAAGTTAGACAGGACTAGGAGTCAAAGGGGATTCTGGGAAATGTGGTAGAGAAGTGGTGATCCAGGCAGAAAGTGACATAGCAAGGAGACTCATATGTAAGCAAGGAGAAACAGGAAGTGTCCCCTTTCCCCTTTGCCTCCTCCACCAGCGGGATGTGATCCACCGGCAAGGGAGGACACCAATGGAAGATGTTTGATAGGATAAGTCTTATAAAATATATAGATTTATGATAAATAAGACTGAGCTAACAGATGAGAAATCCTAGTCATTGGCCAAGCAATATTTGAACCTAATACAAGTTTCTGTGTATTAATTTGGGCCTAACTCGGGTGGGCGGCTGGTGTAAAGCGCACACGTGGCAGTGGGGTTCAGCAGCTTTTGGTGGAAAGATTTATTGTAACATTTGTTTCATTTGTTCCCCTCACCATAGCACTCTCCCAGTGTGCCTCAGGCTAGTTCCCTCCCCCCCAGTTCATCCTGAATTCTGCATTACTGTTTTAAGTATTCCATCACTCTATTTCCCACCTCTCTCAAGAGCATTTGATGGGCATATAAGTGCTTAAGCATTTCTTTCCTTTACTAATGTCTATTGTAAGATGAATCTGAAATGGCTGAAAGACACATAAGAAAGTGTTCTACATCCTTAGCCATCAGGGAAATGCAAATCAAAACAACTCTGAGATACCATCTTACTCCTGTCAGAATGGCTAAAATCAAAACTACCAACGACAGTTTATTCTGGAGAAGATGTGGAGAAAGGGGAACACTTCTCCATTGCTGATGGGAGTGCACTTTGGAAATCAGTATGGTGGCTCCTCAGGAAAATGGGAATCAGTCTACCACAAGATCCAGCAATTCAACTCTTAGGCATATACCCAAAAGATTCACATTCATACAACAAAAACATCTGTTCAACAATGTTCATAGCAGCATTATTTGTAATAGCCAGAACCTGGAAGCAACTTAGATGTTCCTCAACTGAAGAATGGATGGAGAAAATGTGGTACATTTATACAATGACGAAGTACTACTAAGTAGGAAAAAAAACAAAAAACAATGGAATCTTGAAATTCGCAGGCAAATGGATGAAACTAGAAGGAACCATCCTGAGTGAGGCAACCCAGTCACCAAAAGACAAAAATGGTATGTACTCACACTCATAAATGGATTTTAGACCTAGAGCAAAGAGGTAGTAGCCTACAATCCACACTACCAGAGAAGCTAGGCAACAAGAAGTACCCTGAGAGAGACATACATGGTCCCCTGAAGAAGGGGGAAAGGGACAAGATCTCCTAAGCTAATGGGGAGCATGGGGGAGGGGAGAGGGAATTAGAAGAAAGAGAAGGGGAGAAGAGGAAGGGAGAGGAGGAAATGAGAGAGCAGGAAGATTGAGTCAGGGGAAGAATAGAGGAGAGCAAGAAAAGAGATACCATAATAGAGGGAACCTTATAGGTTTAAAGAGAAATCTGGCACTAGGGAAATGTCCAGAGATCTACAAGGTTGACCCCAACTAACAGTCTAAGCAATAGTGGAGAGGCTACCTTAAAAACCCTTCTCTGATAATGAGACTGATGACTACCTTATATGCCACTCTAGAGCCCTCATCCAGCAGCTGACGGAAGCAGAAGCAGACACCCACAGCTAAACATTAAGCTGAACCCTGAACCCAGTTGCAGAGAGGGAGGAGTAATTATCTAAGGGGTCAAGACCAGGCTAGAGAAACCCATAGAAACAGCTAACCTGAACAAGGGGGAGCTCAAGGACCCCAGACTGAGAGCTGGGAAACCAGCATAGGACTGATCCAGACCCCCTGAACGAGGAGGTCAGTTTGGAGTTCTGGTTAATGGGGCCTCTGATAGTGGGTCAGTATTTATCCTTAGTACATGAATGGACTTTGGAAGCCCATTCCACACAGAGGGATAATCTCTTAGCCTAGACACACTTGGGAGGGGCTAGGTCCTGCTCCAAATGATATGACAGACTTTGAAGATTCCCCATGGAAGGCCATGCCCTCCCTGGTGAGCAGAAAGAGAAAAGTATGGGGGTTGATGGGGGACAGGGGAGGGTTAGGGAACTGTGATTGACATAAATGAAGCTTGTTTCTAATTTAAATAAAAAAGGAAAAAGGAAAAAATGTCTATTGTAGTTCATGAGAAGGGAAATGGCTGGACTTTTTGTTTTTTAAAGTTTATGAGTTTCTTGATTCTTTCAAAGAAACACTGGGCTAACTTTCTGAATATTTTACAGATGAATTTGCTGGTCAGTAATATGATTACACATGTAAGTTGTCTCTGTGAGGACATGTAAACATGTAGATCATCTTATTTATTACAGATTCATATACTGTAATCATGGTATTCTAGAACACTGTTTCCTAACTGTTTCCTACTGGCCTTGTCAAGCATACACTTTTCTTTCATTTCAAATTCTTTCCATTAAATATTTTAGTGCTTGAAGGATTCATAATTACATATCTTCACTTTCAAGCTTACCAATGTTTCTTTCTCTCCTGTACTTGCATATTTAGTTTTCCCTCTGACTCTTAAATATCAAAGGGTTGAGGAGATGGCTCAGTGTGTGCCTGCAGGAGGACTTGAGTTCAGATTCTCAGAAATCATGATAAAAAAACTCCAGGCATGGCAGCGGGCATCTGTAATCCAAGCACTGACAGGCAGTGGGAGATAGAGTCAGGGAGATTCCTGGAGTTCATTGGCTAGCCAGCCTAGCCAAACCTGTTAGCTTCAGGCTCAGTGAGAGACCCTGACTCAAAGAATTAAAGGGAGCAGTAAGTGAAGAAGCCACCGGCATTATCCTCCTGCCTCCTCGTGCACCAATATGGATATACACACAATTACTATTGACTTGCCTTATTCTTTTCTGGAGTGCCCCTGAAATACATTTTGTCATTCTATCATTATGATTAGCTCTTTGAGGTTGCTGATGTAGAAAGAGATGGACAGCATCCTGAATGTCCTGTGACATATTACCTGTTTGGTAGAGAGGTGTGTGTATTTGCCTGTGTGGTGTTTTTTTTTTTTTTTTTTTTTTTTTTTTTTTTTGAGGGAGTTATTATTATTGTCTGACACACATGATTTTTTGTGTTTCTGGGCAGGAAATACACAGTGATGGAGCAGCAGATAATGGTTTTGCTTTTA